TGGCTTGTGGAGGCCCTCTTATACTTCAGTAATGTTTCAAAAGCGTTGTGGTAACGTTAATCACCACGCGAGAGGTTGGCGATTTCTCACGGGGTCAGCTGATAATTAATGCATGGCTTTTCACTTGCAGGAAATTCGTTCGTGCGAAAACAAAGGTATGATTTTCAAGCACAGATACACAAGCACCAGTGCATTCGCCAGCAGTCATTTCAAAGCAGAAGAAGCGAAAGAGTAAATGGACAGCAAGAGCTTTAGAACGTCAACGAGGTCGATGTGGTGAAAATAACAAAATGCTGGGCTATTTACTAGTACTGGAGAGTTCGTAGATTTGCTGTTTGGGGCGGTCGCTGCAGCGTGGTTACTAGGCAACTCGTTTTATCTCGCAATGAAAAATCACAGGGCTTAACTGCAGTGAATAGTATTCACTGACGCTCGCGACCTCTTTCTCGTTCACTCATACTCCTCTTTTATTATTTCAACGTTATTATGCTGCAAAACAATAACATGTGTTTTCGATAAGAGCAAAGGAGAGGTTTACAGCGGCAATAGGTAGAGAGTGTAGGCCAATAACGAATTTTGCGTGCGGCGCAGTAAATAATAATGTTTTTTTTCTTTGCACTGACCCGATTAATAGGATTAAGCAAATACGGAAGTGCATATGTGAAAATGAGCCAAAGGATGGTTCAATAGTCTAAACAAGCAATTTCCAAGCGCAGATGCTGTTTCACCAAAGCTGGTTGACAAGGGAAGGCCTTGCTGGCCGCCGGAGGGCATCGATTCACGCGGCCGCGTCTGCTGATCCTTTAATGATGACCGATTGTCACTATGTCATGATACTATTTGCTAGAAAGGCGAGGCTGTGCAGTGGCAGCGTCAGCCCTCGCTGAGAGGAACTGTGCAATGGCAGCGTCAGTCTACCCCAAGGGAGTTCCGCCTCCGGTAAAAGAGTCTAGACGAGGTGATGTGCACTGTTAGTCAGAGTTCTGTTAGATGTTTTTAGCCCGCCTGCACTCTATGGGAGAAGGATTTTTTAATTGACGCTCCACGTCTGAAGCAAAATATAAACAAGCGTTCAATTGACGACTTTCGCTTGTTGTTGTGCTTGCCGCGGACCTTCGAAGCGTTCTGCTAGAGATTCTCGGCAACAGACCACCACTTAGTGCGTAGAAGAAGGTGTAAAAAAACATAAATGAAAACGAGATAATCGGAAATATTGCTGCTTTAACGGCTAACGAGTATACATTGTTTTCTTTTTGGGGGGAAGATTGGATAGTCTGAAAGTGGGCCTTGACGGGATTCGCTTAATGGCTGAGGCACACGACTTCCAGCCTCCAACTCGCCATCTGAGCGCACACTTCCTGCCAAATTGGCCCTTTTTGAGTGGCAAAAGGGGGGATGCAAAAAGAAACCGAGTTAGCCGGTGCAGTTAACTGAAGTCATTGGCAGCGACGTTGAAATCCAGCATAGGGAACCAAAATTAGTATCCAGATGGCAAATTGGTCTTATGCAAATCAACTGTGAAGTGCCTAAGCAGATTGCTATCGCATTGACATTGACTAACATGAGTCAGCGCTGAGCTTTTGCTCATGAGTCCATAAATTCAAAACGATCCACAGGCAGAACAGAAACCAAATATATGAATGGCAACCGCAGCAGGATTTATACGCAGGCAACAACCCCTATATAAAGTGCTGCCGTGGTAGAACGAACAAACAGGTGTCAAATAAAAACATCACATTTCATGAAAATCACGCGGGAGGAGCGTTCAATACTGTGATCTAGGGAAAATGGATGGTACAGAAGGCGAAAACCCGACAGAGAGCGTGCATTATGGCAGAAACATGAGTTTAATTGTCTTGCACAGATGAATTGTTGCCCAATGGGGAAAGCGCATTGTATCGACAAGAAATAACTAGTTTCTCGCTGTTGTTTTTTTTTTCCGCGCGTCGATATGCCAGCGTTGATCGGTAAGTACATACATGCGCGCTGCAGAAGATACATAGATGCGAATAAAGTCTTGGGGTGTGTGAATTCGGATGTTTGATGAGTGCTACGTATGCCCGATGCCACATTGTTGCGACGATCAAGGCATTACCGGTTTTCGCGAGGTTGCCCGAAATAATTACGCGAGGTTCCACAATACATGCATCGCATAATGGATATAGGTCCTATAAGTGAATAGGTGCTAAGCGGCAGGCGCTAGCACCAGCTGGTGTATTTCGTTAGTTGGTCCCTAGAAAAGGAGGCTGAGCGGCATTCTGTGCAGTCTGGAGGGAATAGGTCCCGCACGAAAAAGAAGGTTGCAATCGAGAGTGGCCCTTGTTTACTGCATATCGATTTACCGAGGAAGTCGACATGCAAAATGGAGCCTTCCCCACAGACGACGACGACAGGAGAGGGGCGGTCCCTCGTTTGACTCAACGGGCGGCCGCAAAATTTTCGCAGCGCTTTTATGCGTTTCCTATTGTAGTCTCTTATCGTGCTGTCATCGATTATAACCATGTTCTAACTGTGATTTCAGCAGTGTTCTCCGTCTCCTCCTGATTCGCCCCCCATTCAAGGATGACTGCAACGAAAATGAATCAACCTTACGCCTTTACTTAAGCATAAATAAAAAAAA